CAGTCCAAATGTTGGTTTTAATGTTTTCCAGACAGAAAGAACATCCTGCCGTATTTAAAGAAGAAAGGACAGTGTTGCTCACTTACCGAAAATCCTTCTGGCTACTGCAGTCACCCTGAATTTCCTTGTTGCAAGGGCTGATGGAATCTCATCTCTCCAAGTTACTAAGTATGACCATAGCCATTCCAGCAAGTGGTTGCTACATGTCTTTGCTCCAGCACCCCAGGTTACCGTGTCCCATTCACATACCTCTCTCCCATCTCCTTGAACAGAGAGCCAGAGTTTTAAAACCAGCCCGGCCAAAGGAGCAGTGACGCCCATTCTTTCAGATGAGAGAAATTGTTCCATGTTTTCTGCAAGTGTGATGCAAAGGAAAACCCATCTCATTCAAGGCTGATCTTGTCCTTCGGTATCATTCAATTTACAGGTAAGAAAAAAAGTCTCTCTCTACCCGACTGTAGACTTGGGTCATCTTGCGGTCACCAGCGATTGGGTGGTGATATCAGTAGGTTGGCAAGGCTTTATCATGTCAGAAGAAAGGTTTTGCAGCCTTCCCAAAGTTAATTAGACGCTCAGTTCATCTCATCTCTTCTGGAGGGTAATTGCACAACTGATTCCTCACCACTTTAAATGCTCTGTCTCATAGACTTGGTTCTGGGCTTTGTGATCATTTGTGATCCAGAAGAGTGCAGTGTTTTAGGACAGGGATCCCCGAACTCTGACAGATGGTGTACCACCAATTTAAAATGATACAACTTTAAGTACCACCGGCAAGTTTTTCAGTTCAATGTTAAGTACCACCAGAAAATTTTGTCATATCAGGTAATTATAATAAATCTGTTAACTTGTGCCACTGCCAAGTTTTCTGCGTACCACTGGTGGTATGCGTACCGCGGATTGGGAACTGCTGTTTTAGGCAGCTGATCACTGGAGCTGGGGTGTCTTATGATGCTGGGACCTCAAGGATTAATGGCTCCAATGACAAGAAAACAAGTTCATAACTAGTGGCTGCAGTGTAATGAAAGCCATTGTAGGGCCCAAATCAGAGATCTAAACTTTTTCACACTATGTACTATGTCCAAATATTATGCCGGTAGGCACCCAATAACTCTGTAAATAAATACCTGTTCTGTTGGCACGAAGGATTAT